TTCTGATGTTTTCTAGCATCTACAGTCCCTTGCTTTTCTCTCACTTACTCCCTGGAGGGCAGCATCCACTCTCATGTTTTGTTGTTGATGATTGTTTCCAATCGTCAAAATTATATTGATGATTTCCAAGTTTAGATCTGACTTATCTCCTGAACCCCAAGTCTACATATACTACTATCTACTATCTACTAGACATACCCAACTGGACAGACCATATACGACTTAAGAACAACATGTCCAAAATGCAAGTAATTATTTTCCCCACAAATTGTGTGTGTGTGTGTGTGTGTGTGTGTGTGTGTGTGGAGAGGTTTTTGCTACAGGGCGCGTGCACTTGCCAGACAGACAGAGAGACATAGAGACAGAAAGCGAGAAATCACTCCCCAGGGGGATGGCCATGCCACAATCCCTTCTCCTCCATTCTCCTCTGGGGATCTTGGGCACGCATGTACATGCACCCAGCGTGAGTTTAAGCCACCAGGTCCGGGATGTGAACCGCAGTCGACTATGTGGGAGTCCAGCGACACAGCCATTACACTAACTGCTGGTCCCCAATATTTGTTTCTTCTAAACCAGACTTGAGAGTCAGGGTACATAAGCCACAAAATGTAATGAAGTATGGTACCTGCCATTAAAGGAACCTATCTATAGTCAGGAGATAGAGACAAATGATCAAGATTTTAATTATAATACAGGGTGAGAAGTACTACAATACAGATAAACACTAGCTGCTATTGAGACACACAAAAAAAAAGGTGATACTAAGGAGAAAAATACAAAGGCAAGGCATATACGGGACACAGAAATGGATTATTATCTGTTGATGATAATGTGTATAGTATCCTGAACTGGATTGGCATGAAGTTAAGTGATGTATATTGATTGAATGTATAAAATTTTTAAAAATAATAAAAAAATTTAAAAGGGTGCATCTTACCCAGACTTGGAGTTTAGGGATTTCTAGAGGAGGAAAAATCTAACCTTGGGAAGACAAAGTCAGATTTTTTTAAAGTAAGTATGATGAATATATTCCAGTAAAATAAAATAAAAAGAATTTAAAAAGCTAGGAAAAAGAAAAAAAAAAACTAGTATTGAACTGAAAGTGGCTAAGTATGGCTAGACAGTAAAGCTGAGTGTTAACATAGTAAGAGATGAGGCCACAGAAGGGAAAAGGGGCAGGCCTTGAAAACTCTTCCAAGTCATGTTAAATAATTTTAAGGAACTTTATCCTGCAGGCAGGGAATGTTCTTTTAGAGGGATTACAATAAAAATTAAGAAAGCATTTCACCTGGGACCTGTGAAATTAGAAAAAGTTTGCCAGGGGCCTAGGTGGGGAATGACATTCCCAGAAGATTAAAAAAAAGTATGAAGAAAATGTACCAAAGCTCAAAATAACACAGCTATGTCAGAAAATGGCAAGGAGTCTTATGGAGATAAAAATAAAAAGGTCAAGAATGATGGACAAAATTGTGAAAGGTGTGTTTGAACTTTAGTCTAAAGGAAGTGGGTTTTAAGCAAGAATCATCACAGGAATGTGAAATACAGATTTAAGGTGGGAGTAAATAGAAGCAGGGAGACAAGTTAGTAGGAGACTGTAAGAAATGAGAAACAATAAAGGGCTGAACTAACACTGTGACAGTGAGGGTAGAGGACAGGGAATGGATGGAAAGAATTCTTGTAGGAGGATGACAATGATTTGGAGAAGAAGTCAAATACAATTCTCAAGTTCTGGGTTAGCCAATTGAGTGGCCAGTGATATTGCTAAAGAAAAAAGGATTAGCAAAGGAAGAATGGATTTCAGGGAAAAAGAGTTTAACATATAGTAAAATAGACTTTTTTTTTTTTTTTACTTTTGTTGGGCAGTAAAAGATTATTTTGATTGAGATAAGGGAACATGACTATAATAAAGAAACCAAATCAGAAGGTTAAAAAAATAATCTCAGTGATAGAGCCTTACCGCAGAGAATATAGCATAGGAGTAGGTCAGTATAGAGATGGAGAGGCACAACAATGTCTCCTACAGAAATCACATTTTAATTGGAATACATATTTTAGATTATACTGTAGCTCAGGCATGGGTATGTGATAAATTCTGGCTCATAAAATCTGAATGGAAGACATATGTTTTACTTCCTGGTTGCAATGATTTGAAAAGTGCCCCCCCCCAAAAAAAAAATTCCTGTGTTGAGATTTGGTTGTAATGGTAGTAAAAGGGTGAAAATCCAACTGTGTTGCTAAAAGGTCTTTGAGAGGAGATTAGGATTAAGAACATTGGGGTGGGGCCCCCATGATCGACTCTTGGTGTGTTTACAAGGAAAAAGTGAGACCAGAATAGAGACACACATGCTCTGCTCTGCTCTGTTCAAGCTTCTGCCCTCCACAATGTTATCCACCTTCAAGAATATCTTAAACATATGCAGCACCCCTGGACCCTGGACCTCCAAAGTGTGAGCTGAATAAACTTCTGTCCTTTTTAAATTACTCAGACTAAGGTATTTTCTCTTAATAGCAATAAAATGGATTAGAATATTAGTCTTGGGGGATCACTGGATGGCGTAATGGATATGTTGCTGGACTCCCACGTAGTCGACCACGTTTGAGTCCTGGGCTTAGTGGCTTCAAATTCATGATGGGCACATGTGCATGCATGTCCAAGATCCCAAGAGGAGAATGGAGAAGGGGTTGCGGTGTGGCCATCCCCCCAGTGGGGTGATTTCTCTCTTTTTGTCTCTCCCTGTCTCTCTGGTGAGCTCATGTGCCCTATAGCAAACAAACAAACAAAAAAAACAAAAACAAAAAACTCTCTCTTAAACAAAAATGTAAAAAATAAATAAATAAAAGAATATCAGTCTTGCCTATAAAAGGATTACATGTACTATCCCTGAGTATTTCCCAGGAACTGACTAGAAACATACAGATCATAAGCCTAATAAACTTTTGAAGAAACAATAAAGCCATATACTCACAAGAAGTTGGGACTTTTTAAGACCTAAAGCAACTTCTGGGCTCCCAATCCTGTACTAGCAGGAAAGAGACTACAAAATCTTCACAGTTCCCAAAGATGACACTTTTTCTAACATCCGTTTGGGATATGACCAGAAAGGATAATGGACCGGGAAGAACTTCCTAGGGAACAAAGTCAGGAGTTGGGGAGAAAATATGAAGTTCCTCCAAGAAAGTGGAACCACTAACCACTCCCCTTTTTTTTTGAGAAGTTTTTCGCTATAGGGCGCGTGCATTCGCCAGACAGACAGAGAGAGACATAGAGACAGAAAGCGAGAAATCACCTCCCAGGGGGGATGGTCACACCACAATCCCTTCTCCTCCATTCTCCTCTTGGGATCTTGGGCACACACGCACACGCACCCGGCGTGAGTTTTAAGCCACGGGGTCCGGGACTCGAACCGCGGTCGACTACGTGGGAGTCCAGCGACGTAGCCATTACACTAACTGCTGGTTCCCAGAACAGGGAGTCTTTGAAATTGCTGTGAAGCAGTTATTTGATCACTGCCAGGAAGCAGTGACTTCTCCATGTTTCTCATTCTTCTATTCTCTAAGTAGGAATTTACAGCTCTCATTTTAGTGATCATCTTATTCCACCATTGTCTATTTGGTTGGGCTGGGGGAGCAGGAACATGTAACTTGCTTTGTAGTTTACTATCAATGGACCATAGAAGCCACCTCTAGGCCTGATGGAGTAAACAGTGTATCACTCAGACATTCTGGACTTAAGAAAGAGAAGACATGGCAACCAGATATGTCTTTGGAGACCTCCCTCAGAGAAGAGGTATACTCTAGTTTGGGAAGAAGAATTTATTTAGATAATAGATGGCCAGAAGAACAGAAGGGAATACTGCAAGTCATACCCAGATAGCCTATAACTTCCTCAAGAGTGACAGAGTTTTGGCTAAGCCTTTGACTACACAACCAAAGATGACATTTCTTGGCCTCCCTTCTAGCTAGGTTAGCACATGACTATGTAGCAAACAATAAAATGTAAATAGAAACTTCTGAACAGCAAAATATCATGCCACTTCTGGGCCTTGCTTTGAAAAATATTGAAGGTAATAGAATTGAAGGACCTGTGTTGGCTAGAGTTGGAAGGCATTAATTGAAAATGGAAGACACATTCACCACCCCAAACCATTCATCTTTGGACTAGCCCATTTAAATTAATACTGTACATTCGGGTCTCTCTCTCACACAGCTTTTTTTCAATTGTAATTTATGATTTACATATACCCATTATACATCTTTGTAAGATACAGTGTGGTTTTCAAAAGTATGTATGGTGTGTAATATTCACCATCTTCAACTCTTAACATTCATAAATTGTTTCTATTGTTTATTTTGGAAGTATATAATGAATTGTCAATTTTCTTTACTTGGAAATACAGTTCTAAAGAAAAACAAAGTAATTAAAAGTCAGACAACAAAACATCTTACAAATTAATGAGAATGGATTTTTTTTTTTTTTGGAGGGGTTTTTGCTATAGGGTGTGTGCGCTCAGCAGAAAAACAGAGAGAGGGAGAGA